AAGAATTTTTTTTGTTGAATAACATTCACAGAAAGTTTTATTTTCAAAGAATTACAGATTTGCAGACAGTTGCAATATTTTTAATTAAGCCATAATACCTGAATTGTTTTACTTTAGAATCTTTGGGTAGTAGTTAAAGACTGAAAGTGGATAAAGGTTAGGAGTCACTAATACATTAACACATGCCTTTATGCTGTACAAAGTGTGTAGAGTATCTTATTACTCAACTTTTTGGGAGTATTTGTAGAAAGTTCTTTTGGAAAACTTAAAGCAAAGGATACCAGTCAGCCTTTCACCTAAACACTTACTCAATAAAATCTTGGTGAGCATTCACATGAAACATAAATGTCTTCCCTTAGGAAAAGCTAAAGCCAAGGTGCTTGCTAAAATACCAGATCCCAGTTCCACTGTAGGAAAGTTTTATGATTTATGTTTTGGGCAGGGCTTAGGAATTTCCACTGCAAACACTCCGAGGAGTTGTGATGTATTTTTTCTCAGATTGTACTTGAGGAATTAGGGTTTTATTTTTATTTTTATTTTTTATTTTTTTTTGAGATGGAGTCTTGCCCTGTCACCCAGGCTGGAGTGCTGGAGTGCAGTGGCATGATCTCGGCTCACTGCAACCTCAGCCTTCCCCCGAGTAGCTGGGATTACAGGCGTGCACCACCACGCCTGGCTGATTTTTGTATTTTTAGTAGAGATAGGGTTTCACCATGTTGGTCAGACTGGGAGAAATTAGGGTTTTTAAGAGACCATAGTTTTGTTTCTGCTTTATATTCTTATCCATATATCCTTATATACATGTATGAAACAGAGTCATTGTAGTTACAGATATTTACTTCTACTTTTACACTCTGATTTTATTTTAATCATAGTGTGACCCCTGAAATTGATTTCAAAATTAGTGTCTCCATCCTTAGTTTGGTAACACTGCCTTAGGTATTATCTGTGTAAGGGTGACAGCAGGATTACTGAAATGAAGCGATCCCCATTTCTTCTTAAAGTGATTTATCTTTTTGGTCCTTTGAGGATGTTTTATTATTATTTAGATACATTTTTCTGCTTTGCTAGGCATTCACTACCCACACACAATTACCAGTTTTATTTCCTCTTTTCCCCCTCTTTGTAGTTTTCACTACAGTTTTCACTCATCGTTATACAATTAGGTGCTTCTTCCCTATGTTATTAAAAGTGTTTAACACTTGGGTATTTTGTATGCTTATGTGGGAACAGCAAAGAAGAAAAACAATCCAGTTGCGAAATAGTAACATTCTTACTGAACTTCATAAAGATAAACATATCAGATTCCATTCTTGATATAAACAGCTGAAAAGTAATTGGCTGGGCCATACTTGCATTGAGAGTATGAATTAAATATATGGGAAGGACCCTAAACTCTAGCAAAATTGGCTTGTTGCAGTGGCTCTCGCCTGTAATCCTAGCACTGTGGGAGGCTGAGGCTGGTGGATCACTTGAGGCCAGAAGTTCAAAACCAGCCCGGCCAACATGGTGAAACCCCATCTACTAAAAATATAAAAATTAGCCTAGCGTGATGGCATGCGCCTGTAATCCTAGCTACTCAAGTGGCTGAGACATGAGAATAGCTTGAACCCAGGAGGCGGAGGTTGCAGTGAGCTGAGGTTGCGCCACTGCACTCCAGCCTGGGCGACAGAGTCTGTCTCAAAAAAACAAAACCCCCCCCCCCCCACCAAAGAAACCTCTAGTAAATTATTAGGTGTTTTTTGTTTTTGTATTTGTTTTATTTCTTTTTATTTTATTTGAGACGGAGTCTCTCTCTGTCTCCAGGCTGGAGTACAGTGGTGTGATCTCGGCTCACTGCGACCTCCGCCTCCCGGGTTCAAGCAATTCTCCCGAGTAGTTGGGACTACAGGTGCGTGCCACCACACCCAGCTCATTTTTGTATTTTTAGTAGAGACGGGTTTTCACCATGTTGGCCAGGCTGGTCTCGAACTCCTGACCTCAGGCCTCCCAAAGTGTTGGGATTACAGGCGTGAGTCACTGCCCCTGGCCTTTTTTTTTTTTTTTTTTTGAGACAAAGTCTTATTCAGTTGCTCAAGCTGGAGTGCAATAGCGCGAACATTGCTCACTGAAGCCTTGACCTCCCGGGCTCAAGCAATCCTCCCACCTCAGCCTCCCAAGTAGCTGGGATCACAGGTACACACCCCCATACCAGGCTAATTTTTCTATTTGTAGAGACATGGAGTCTTCCTGTGTTGCCCAGGCTGGTCTGAAACTCCTGGACTCAAGCAATTTGTCCACCTCACCCTCTCAAAGTGTTAGGATTATAGACGTGAGCCACTGCATCAGGCTTTAGGTTATTAGTTTGAAAATAAGATTAAATCACTTACATGAAGCAAATTAAATAAAGTAAATTTTAGCCAAGGAAAATGGCTGCCGTGTATTGACCTATTGATCTTTATCTGAATCCTTTAAGGTTGGAAATAGTGTTTTATTTTACACATGCAAAAATGAGTTTAGAGGATACAAACAGTTGATAAAGATAGCTGTGAAAATTCACCTCAAACATTAAGGTAAGTATGGTTTAGTTAGTCCTAATAAAAGGAAGGGAGCTGGGTATGGTAGCAGGTGCCTGTAGTTCCAGCTACTCGGGAGGCTGAGGTGAGAGGATGGCTTGAGTTCAAGAGGTTGATGCTGCAGTGATCCATGATTGCACCACTGCATTCCAGCCTGAGTGACAGAGTGAGACTCTGTCTCTATAAAAAAATTTTATAAATCAATAAGAGGAAGGGCACTTCTCTTTATTCAGCTATTGAAACATCATGTGAATGTGTGATGGAGGCAAAATGATGCCTTCTTATGAGTTAGAAAATGTTATTGTTAATGCAAGTAGTGGTATTACATCAAATAAGTCACATTGTTTATGTTGGTTCTACATTAAAACACAAGAAGCACCTCTTTTGTCCTGTCATCTTTTGAAAAAGTGGTTAATGAGCTCCTGTGTACTGTGTAAGAAAGCGTTAAATGCTTAAAGTTACTTTGAGTTAAGTAGTCAGGAAGCAAACACTTGGTTACCAGAAGTTAGAATGGAGAAAGCAGCTTTCTGTGCAGTCTGATACAATAGGAGGGTACCTTTCCTTTTTGGACTAGCCGAGACCTAATCTTTTCCTACCGTAGGTAAAAAAGCCTTTCCTTTTTATGTTTTGTAAGTATTTGCTGTAAGTTATTGGTTTGTGGTAGCCAAGCTAACAAAGACTTTGGGGAAAAAAGTATTCAGGTGCTAGAATAGTATCTGGTGTATGCTGGCTCTTTGTAAATCCTGCCCACGTTTAGGTTTGTCTGCAGCTGTTAGTACCTAATATCAGGAGTTCTTCCTAGCAAAGGTATTCTGAACCTTTTTGGAAGCATAAGGACATTTCCAGCTGGACACGGTGGCTCACATCTGTAATCCCAGCACTTTGGGAGGCTGAGGCGGGCAGACTGCTTGAGCTCAGTCATTCAAGACTGGCCTGGACAACATAGTGAAACCCTGTCTCTACAAAAAATACTAAAATTAGCCAGTCATGGTGACGTGTGTCTGTGGTCCCAGCTACATGGGAGGCTGAGATGGGAGGATTGCTTGAGCCTAGGAGGTCGAGGCTGCAGTGAGCTGGGATGGTACCACACTGCACTGCACCCTGGATGACCGAGTGAGATCCTGTCTTTTTTTTTTTTTTAAACATTTTGGAGAATCTGGACACTGAAGATTTGTAATGTAGAAAAACAGACATATTTAACATTGGCATCTAGTTTTGTAGGTTCCGCGTGACTGACTACCCAAAGCCAATCTTTGGGTTTAGGTCTAAGCTCTTTGCCTTACAAGACTGGCATTACAGTTGTATTGTATTAGATACTGTTGGAATCAAATAGTGCATACAGTCAACATGCTAACATATATGCTGAAATTATTTGGTAGCGTGATTTGATTTTATGTGAAGAAAACTTAGTATAGCAAGTTTATTTTAAGGTTTATTTTAAGGATCAGGTTCTTGGTATTCAGCCCAGGCACGTTAAAACACTGTTATTTCTAACTCTATCAAATAAGGTTATTAAAAACTGAGAATTTTAAAGATTTGTATTAGGTACTATGGTGTGCAAACAGGGTCTGGACCCGTAACAGTTTTCAAATCAGTTTAATGGGTCTGACTAGCCTTAAAACAAATGAAGTAGACCAGAGTAGAAAAGAAATTATGTATCACAAAATACACAGTTAAGTACTTGGTGAAACTTTTGCTTAAGTTTGTGTATTTATGTATATATGGATGCATGTATACCTTCATAAGTGTTTTTATTGGATTGCAGTGCAAATATATTTCTTAATATGAGATGATTTAAAAAGTTAGAAAGCCACAGCTCTGTAACTGTTTGCTTCGGAAGTAGTTTGAGTATCTGAGTTCTTGATATTTTTGTGTTTTGGGAGACAGAATAGGTAACTAGTTAGGATGCAAGAGTAGAAGAGCAACTTTCTTTGAATCTTCAGTGATTAACCAATAAAGTTGAGATGGGATTTTACTCATTAAATAGCTTTGGATAGTTAAGGCTGAATTTGCTTTGTGGAAGTTTTGAAAGCTGTTATAACCAGAGGAAGAAATATATGTGTGTTTCACAAAAGTTGTAGTTGCATTTACTGAAAATGTTGTATATGGTTCAGTGAATGAAATATATGTGATGCTTAACATAAAGCTGTCTGAGAAAACATTGTTTCTGATTCAATACTGGAAATACCTATTTTAAGTATAGTCAACTATTCTTGCATTGCTTAGGGCAGCTGTTTGTTTTTACCAAAAATGTAGGACCTAAAGAAATGAAGGTCTCTGGACTTTTGGGGGAAGAGATAGTAGATTTTTGTGTTCTTGTTTTTTAATATGAAGTAGTTTTCGGGAAAGGTTATGTAAGTAAGCATCAGGTGTTGTTTACGTTTAAGAAATTGAATTATAGATGTTAACTTAATGTCTTCTTTTTTTCTTCCATTTCTTTCAAAGGTTTGGGCCCCATGGTATCCCTGTGACAGTATTTCCCAAAAGGGAATATAAGGATAAACCAGAAGCCATGCAGCTCCAAAGTAATACATTCCAAGAAGGGACAGAAGTCAAGTGTGAAGCAAATGGTGCTGTTCCTGATGACCCTTCTCCTGTCCCGCATCCCGAGCTGAGTTTGGCTGAAAGCCTGTGGACTTCCAAACCACCACCTCTCTTCCATGAAGGAGCACCTTATCCTCCCCCTTTGTTTATCAGGGACACATATAACCAATCAATACCTCAGCCACCTCCTCGGAAAATTAAGCGACCCAAACGAAAAATGTACAGGGAAGAACCCACTTCAATAATGAATGCTATTAAACTACGACCCAGGCAAGTTCTGTGTGATAAATGTAAAAACAGTGTTGTTGCTGAAAAAAAGGAAATTAGAAAAGGTAGTAGTGCAAGTGACTCTTCTAAATATGAAGATAAAAAACGGAGAAATGAAAGTGTAACTACTGTGAACAAAAAACTGAAAACTGACCATAAAGTGGATGGGAAAAACCAAAATGAAAGCCAGAAAAGAAATGCTGTGGTTAAGGTTTCAAATATTGCTCACAGCAGAGGCAGAGTCGTAAAAGTTTCTGCTCAGGCAAATACATCAAAAGCTCAGTTAAGTACTAAAAAAGTTCTCCAGAGTAAGAACATGGATCATGTGAAAGCTCGGGAAGTGTTAAAAATTGCCAAAGAAAAGGCACAAAAGAAGCAAAATGAAACCTCTACTTCCAAAAACGCACATTCAAAAGTCCATTTCACACGTCGATATCAGAATCCTAGCTCAGGTTCCCTTCCACCCCGGGTTCGTTTAAAACCACAGAGGTACAGGAATGAAGAAAATGACTCTTCTCTGAAGACAGGACTTGAGAAAATGCGGAGTGGCAAGATGGCACCCAAGCCCCAGTCTCGCTGCACCTCTACCCGCTCAGCAGGTGAGGCCCCTTCAGAAAATCAGAGTCCCTCAAAAGGCCCTGAAGAGGCCAGCAGTGAGGTTCAGGACACAAATGAAGTGCATGTGCCTGGTGAGCAGGATGAACCACAGACATTGGGCAAAAAGGGCAGCAAAAACAATATCTCTGTTTATATGACCCTAAATCAAAAGAAATCTGACTCTTCCAGTGCTTCAGTGTGTAGCATTGATAGCACAGATGATTTGAAATCTTCCAACTCTGAGTGTAGTTCTTCTGAAAGCTTTGATTTTCCTCCAGGCAGTATGCATGCACCTTCCACCTCCTCCACTTCCTCCTCTTCAAAGGAAGAGAAAAAGCTCAGTAATTCCTTGAAAATGAAAGTCTTTTCCAAAAACGTCTCTAAATGCGTCACACCAGATGGCAGGACCATATGTGTAGGGGACATTGTTTGGGCCAAGATATATGGCTTCCCTTGGTGGCCAGCCCGTATTCTTACTATAACTGTGAGCCGGAAAGATAACGGCCTTTTAGTCCGACAGGAGGCCCGTATTTCATGGTTTGGGTCTCCAACAACATCTTTCCTTGCTCTTTCACAACTCTCCCCCTTTTTAGAAAACTTCCAGTCACGCTTTAATAAGAAGAGAAAGGGCCTGTATCGCAAGGCTATCACAGAGGCAGCTAAGGCTGCCAAGCAGCTGACCCCCGAAGTGCGGGCTTTGTTGACACAGTTTGAAACGTGAACATGGACAGTAAGGTAGGCAAGACCATTGGAAGTCACCACAGATTTTCTAGTCTAGTTAGGAATAATTTCTACGAAATAGCTTGGCCAGATTGGAGAGAGAAGTTGCACTCAGTTGGCTGGCTTTTTAATACTTACCTTATAGCCATTTTTAGACTGAGAAGCTTAAACTGAACATATAATCAAATTTTGTGTTAAGGAAATGAGATTTTAGCAGTGTTTTTCAGTTTTGAAGTTCAAAACCATCCCAAGGCATAGGAGCCATAGCCTCAACTGAAATTGAATTTTTGTAGGGACTGTTAATTGCCATTTGTACCTAATACTGTATATATACACATATATATACATATATATATGAAATATAGCCTGTCACTGTGTGACACAGGTTGCATACTTGGGATTGCAGTAAGGGCTTGGTGAGCTGGGGGAATAGTGTGGATATTTAATGACTACTTGTTTTTTAAATAATGAACACTTAGCCTTCTTATGCGCATAATGGTGTAAAAGTTAGGTGGTTAGGTGTTTGATAAACAGATGCTTGCTATTCAGTTACAGACTGGGGAAATAGCCCAGTGTTTGGGATTAAAACTGTCAAGACTGGATAGGTGTTAGTCATCACTGTCTTTCGTCTGGTGGGGATTTAATAAATACTTTCAAGCTTCTGGTTTGGGAGTTTAGATAGGTTTGATTTTGGATTTGTAAATAGTTGATTGCTAAATTTGGTCAGATTTCTCCTGACTGGCTGTTCCTAAATTCTTAGGATATGTCCCAGTAAAATTACACTTTGTGAATTAATTGTCATATGTGTAATTGTTGCATTTTGGATGTACCTAATTTGATAATTAAAACAAAATAATTTCCGTTTAAGGTATCTGTTTGCAGGTCAGAAAATGAGAAAATGTAATTGTGTAATGCTTTGAAATGTAAAAAAAAAAAAAAAAAAAAAAAAAAACTAAATAAAATCAACTAAATCCAAATTATTTGTGTGTGTTTCTCAAAAAGCTTTGAAAAATTTCAAGATGGTAGAAAATTATTCTTTGTAAGAGTGTTTAGAAGAGATGAAAAAATCAAACTTTTATTTTGCTATTTGCCCTATCAGGGAGTATATTATCTGAGATAAGAAAACTTCAAATAATGAGAGATGAATCAGTATATTCTCAAAATAAGATTTTATAGTATAGAGGTTTGATAATGCTTTTAGATTTGATACCCCCTTCCTGCCAATTTCTCATAAATGTGTGAATTTTAATTTTTAGCCTTAATATTTCATCACATGCTTCCTTTTTTTACATTTGGGTAATTACAACCGGTCTCTTCTGTTTGGTTTTCTGCCTCATATATCACTGCTTTTGGGGCTAGTAACTTAGCTTACTATTTTTCTACATGGTCCATCTGTCCCTAAGATTTGATTTCTTATTTTCCATTTTTAGCTTTGTATTAGTAGTGAGAAATATATCTGATTTGCTGTGGAGGCAAGTTTATCTCAAGATTTTTAAAGTTGCTTTCATACGTTTTGTGTCTTAACAACTTTTGGATATCTAATTTCAATACTTTTAGAAATTTAAAAGTGTTAGCAGTTTTTGTGGATTTCTAAATCCAATTTGAAATAGTTATGGAACGCATAATGAAAAGATTAATGGAGGTTGAAAATCAATAGTCTTGTCAGCTTTCTTAAGGTTATGAACTGGTTACGAATTTCTGCAAAAGCAAGTGGAATTTCTTCTGGGGAACTCAATGCTTTTTGATTATTATGAACACACAATTTAAAAACATGTTTCACTTGAGTAGAACATATTCTTTCCTGCAAACAGAAACAACTATACTTAAAAAAAAAAATTCTTTGATTGAAATTCACAGTGTGGTTGAGAAGTTATAAGGAACTATCCTAAAAGATTTTCCAAGTATTTGTTTCAGATTAATGAACTTGTTAATTCAGGTGTTTTTAAAAGTTTGAAATCTAAAGTTCAGAAAGACTTAAAAATCACCAAAACATGTAATTCCAAGGCTGTGTGTAATGATCCGGGTGAGTTTTATCTTAACAGTGGTTTGAAGTGGACATTACTAATATGGTCAAGTGCTTGGTAAATGTGCTCTTGTGGCATAAACCAAATTTGATTTGTTTCAGAAGCCATGGGGAAAGAGAAGAAAGGAAAAAAAATCATGATTGTTGAATATAAAATAACATTCAGTTTTGTAGAACACACCTTTGAGGAAAAGGTTGAGCATATCACAAATGATATTATGCCAAATGACCCCTTTGCTTTACACTGGCAGTCTGGCATATTTCATTTGTAGTTTCAGTAGGGAAGCAAGTTTTAAAGAATCTCTCTAATCTTAAATGTGTATTCTAAACTCTAATAGCTGAATATTAAAAACTTTTGTTCCAATGGAAATGTCTTAGATACACTTGTCCAGTATCTACTGCAGATGGAGATATAGTTGAATTGGGTAGTTATAGCCACTTTATATTTCTCTTTGAAATGATAAAAGGCACTTACTTGATATGGAGATAACAGAAGTGGGTATTTTTTTTCCCTTTGCAGTGGGAGTAAACTGGCTTAGACCAAATCTGCGGCTTAAGTAACGGTCGTGGCTAAAACAAAGGATTGGCAAAGGGAGAAACCAAGTGAAGGAAGAGTTGTGAAAGCTAAGAATGTCTTTATTTCTGGAAATTCTCAGAAATGTAAAGCATCAGAGTATTTTTCCCTTTTTACTTTCTAGAATTTATAGACTAGGAAGCTGACTAATCATTTGGAAGGAACATCCATTCAACTCTCATTTACAGATGTGGAACCAAAGACCACAAACAATTATCTGTGAGAGGCCAGGTGCGGTGGCTCATTCCCATATTCCTTGAAGTTTGGAAGGCCAAGGTGGGATGATTGCTTGAGGCCCGGAGTTGGAGACCAGTCTGGACAACATAGACCCCTGTCCCCCCTGCCATCTCTGCAGAAAAATAAAAACTTAGCCCGGCATGGTGGTGCACACCTATAGTCCCAGCTATTCGCCTGTATCCTAGCTACTTGGGAGGCTAAGATGGCTTGAGCTCAGGAGTTGGAGGCTGCAGTGAGCTATGATCACACCACTGCACTCTGGTCTAGGCAAGAGTGAGACCCTGTCTCTGAAAAAAACCCTATATATCAGTGAGGTAGAGAAAGTGGGATTCACTAGTCTGAAGCCTTTTTGTATGACTTGGTAGTGTGTCCCCAGATGGTTTTGATGGGGAGGAAATCTGTAAATAGTAACTGTAGATTGGTACTAAGTTGAAAAAGCAGGAATTTTGATGTGATAACAGACTGGAGGCAAAGAACAGGGAACTGATACTAAAATCAACTAAATGAATATATCTTCATTAGTGAGCCGGAGTATCTAAATTGCAAAATATTAAATTGAGTTACACTCCTATTTAAGCAGGTTGTACTTTTCTAAAAATTGGTTATGTTGAAAAGGTCACAAGTCTGTAGAATAACTGAATTGGGAATTGGAAATACCTTATTGGGTTCTGCCATGTTGAACCAAGCTAGTCTTTGAACTCCTGGACCTCAGGTGATCCACCTGCCTCAGCCTTCCAAAGTGCCTGGGATTACAAGCATGAGCCACTCGTGCCGGCCATATCTGGCATTTTTTAAGAGATGTTTTAAATACTGTAATATAAGAACAATACAAAACAAAATACTTACATTTGCCTCAACTTAGAAAAAGAGTCCTTCATTCTCTCTGGAAAATTCCCTACTGGAAGGCCATCATAGGCACAAATTCCTGAATCAAAACATTAATTTTTCTAGACATCTGCCCATCCTCTCAGTCTGTAAGGTACTAATAAAAAGTGAAAGCATCGCAGCACAGACCATAGAAAATTCCCAACTTCAAAGGGAAAACCTAATTTTAAGATACAAATTACAACGACT